ACTTCTCGATTCCGTTGGGAGTCTAGTCTTTGAGAAGAACCATCCCAGCCGACCTGCCCTAGTCTTGTAACAAACTTGGGTCAGGCTTGAGCTCAGAGATAAGGGGCTCGATTTTTTTCTATGCTCCTACTCCAAAGCGGGATGGAGGGTGCGCTTTTTGCTACCTTTCTGGGGGGGAGCAGGGGAGGGACCTGGGCCTTGTAGACTCTGAGCTGAATTGCAAAGGGGTTTGCAGGCAGGCAGCGTTCTGACACTGGAGGATAATCAGGTCTGAGGAGTAGACGGATTATACGAAGTTTTGTGGATTGTGGGATGCAACTGTAGCGTGACTTTTACGCTCAGGAATATCCAGGGAATTCGAAGATCTCCCATATTTTTTTGCAGCAGAGGAACCGCTTGGACTTTAAAGTGGAAGGTTCCGGCTGCAGGAAAATGACTTTGGATAGGTGGCGCGTGCGCTCTGGAAAACTGAGGGCTGGCAGGAGATGGGGCTGTCTTTACAGAGGGAAGATGAGGACCAGGACCTCACAGCCTACACAAAGGCAACATAGGGAGGGGTGAAACAATCTAGATCTGGCATCACCTCCTCCAACAGGTGCCAAGAGCTCCCAGGAGGTGCCAGACAAAGTCAGCAGGCCTGTGCGCCAGCCGCGCCCTGTCCTCTCCAGCTTTACGCACGGGTTAGCTTGCCTTTTAGCCTCGCCAGGAAAGCAGGGAGGAGCTCCAGTCATCTCTACTAAGGATAGAAATTTTTCCACAGTCACAGCCCCCTACTAGGAGTTTCCCCAAAGGTAGGAGCCAACGGTCTAGGCTCTCTCTACACCCAGGTGCGGAAGGAGCAGGAAGGGCCTTGGCTGGCCCAGGAGAGGGGCGCACAGCTTGGCTGGCATGTGGCAAGACCTTTGAGTTAATGTATAATTGTGAGCAGATGGCGGGGGCTGGCGGCAGCCTGGGGGCTGGGCTCAGCTAATGAGGGACAATTAGCCCCAAACATGGTGGGGGCAGCTGAGAGAATCAGACAGAGAAGGCAGATATTTGCTCCTCAAACAGTCTGGCGCGTTAGGCAGAGGGTTGAGCGACTGAGCCTTTGGGCTTGCTAGGCCCCCCGCCAGGGCTCTTTCCCCTTTTTTTCCTCTCCTATCACCTCTGGGTCGAAAGCTTCTGTTTGTTCAGACCCGAGAGCCTGTTGTAAAGACAGAGCGAGAGGGTAGTTTATGGGGGAAATCTCTGCCACCACCATCTGCCAGGGCTTGTCCTTTCTCCCCCTTGACACCCCTACCTACACCCTCATGCAGCTGTCTATAGGAAAAGCCGGTCAGGGCATGAGCCTTGAGCTCCAAGATGCAAGGGCAGATCCAGAGAAAAGAACAAGACAGGAGAGAGAGGTTGAGAGCAGGGAATACCCTGTGCCTTTTTGGGGACCTTCTTTCGCCAGGCATAATTAAGCAGAATGCCCAGCAGCCCCTAGCTGCCCCTGGTGGAAAAACTCTCCTTGCCCTGGGGCATGTGCTGTCCTGCCCATGGTGCTGAAAACATCTGTTGCAGTCTTCCCTCCGGTCCAGCGCTCCAGCCCAGCCTGAAGATGCTGGAGCAGACTGGAAGAGGAGAGGAGTATGTGTCAGGGTAAGACTCAGGACCCATTTCTGTGATGCATTTGGCTTTGGAAGACAAGAGTTTGCAACTCTAAGTTCCAGGTTCATAGACGATACCCACTTCTGAACCACCACCAAAACCAATGAGATCTTCTAGTCTTTCCTCTTACTTCTTGGTCTAGTCTTAATGCCTTAATAAACGGGGGTTGCTTACTTGAACATCACTTCTGTGACTGAGTTACAGAATCTGAGATACAAAATGGACCCCAAAGGCTTTCTCCATCTGCTCCTTCACACCCTTACAAGCGTCTGTCCACAACTGCGATGGTAGCAAGGCTCCCAAGAACGAGCCGTGTTCCCTTCCAGCAACCCACTCCCAAGGGACAACCTCCCCACCCACTGGTTTCCACACTCCAGCAATGGCCCAGACAATCTATGGTGTCTTTTGTGAGAACAGGAATATCATTTTTAAAAATTTAATCTAAAGCTACCTAACCCCAGCAACATGGAGTCTGAAAACATCCAGAGGTGTAAAAGGGCAGAATAGACAGTGTGTGCATCCTTAGAAACTCCACACGCTTTTCTGGTCATTCTGACACTCCGTCCCACCAGCCTAGCGCTGTCGGGGTTCTGAAGTCCATGATGACCCTATTTCCAGGCAAGGACTCATTCTGTGTGTCATTTCAGGCATGGAACAACTAGAGAATGGGGGAGAATCCTCCCTGGAGAGAGCTGACATATGTGACCCATGCTTCTCTATCCAGTCTCCTCCTCTCGAGGTTTCAGATGCTAACTCAGACTGTACTCCATTAGGCTATATGTCATTTATCTTGTATAATAATACACACACGATCTGGGGGTTGACTTAAAGACTCTGACATATGCAGCATGGCTGGGAAACTGTATCAGTGTTTCTGGAATGTTCTTTTATATTTCCATGCATGTGAAACTTTGGGAACATAGTCTGAAGTCCCTCGTCTTCCATGATCCTCACTCTTTTCAGGAATACTGGCCCATGCGTGGGGACACTCTATGCTGAGGGAGCCTGCCTGAGAATGGCTCTATGCTTCCTTCAGGGTGAGTGAACACAAGGTGGACTCTGAAGCCCCACAGAAGGACCCAGCGGGTCCCTGATTGTGGGTTACCCTGCCTCAGGACCAATGTCAGCCAGCCCCATGCACACTTCCCTCCTCCTCTGTTCATGGCCTGTGACATCACTGGCTACTCCCAGAAGGCTGCCCTCTGCTCCTGAGCACAGAGTCTGTGTGACTCTGGACCCCCTGGCTGGACTGAAGCAGCAGCAGAGTGGAGGCTGTCACAAGAGCAGACCACCAGCAACCTCTGGAGCCCACACAGGAGCCTCAGACCTCGCACTGGAATTCCTGCCTCCTTCCCTCCACCCAGGTAGTTCGGAGCAGGCTCATTGTCTGCCCTGCCTCCCATACTGTCTCCATGTCTTTGTGTGCCCAAACTCAACTTTCTTCCTCCTGTCTACACAGTTAGTCTCCTTCCTGCCCCTTCAACTCCTCAACCTGCTTTCTCCTCTAATGAGTATCAAGATTTTTTTTTTTTTCTGACAGGTTGCCACATGTATTGGGGGTGTGTGGGAGGCTATTGGAGATAGGGTTTCCTTTTGTGAGTTAGGGCATGATTCATCTTGGTTTGGAAGTCTTTTAGATGTGACTATTGGACTTGCGTTCCACAGTAACTTTGGTCACTTGGGAAGTTAGACTCTTATGCATGTTTAGCTGATAGTCTCAGCCCTTGTTCCCCTGCCCCTTGCAGCCCCAGCTTCCCTCTCCATTTCTTAAATGACAGTTGCCCAAGGATTAAGCAGGGCTTGGGGAAGAGAGAGAGAATTCCATGCTTTGAAGCCAGAAATGTTTTACCTTTGCTCAGAAACTGGCTTCTGAACCTCGAGTTTTATTCTCTGAGGGGGTCTTGATTTATGTTAATCTTAGTCTGTGCCTCCATTTTCTCTCTCTCTCTCTCTCTCTCTCTCTCTCTCTCTCTCTCTGTGTGTGTGTGTGTGTGTAGGGGATTTGACTGTCTCACTGAGTTTCTGAAATGCTGAGCGATTGAAGGGGTATATCTCCAGACACCTAAACATAAATGAAAAAAGTCCCCTCGCTACCGAATTCAATGAGCTCTGGATCCATTGATGTTTTGCTCCTGCTGGTTTCTTCTCTTTACTGCATTGTTATCTCCATTCAAAAAGGAAAGACTCCCGGGAAGGATTCAGGTGGGACTGATATTCTTAACCTCCTCCCTCTCCTGCTATACCTCTCTGCACACTCAGCTTGCCTCTGTCCTTTTCTCCCCCCCCCCCCCACTTCTTCCCAAACAAACAGCAATGTGCTCTTGCCTAATGCCCTATTCACGAAGTAATTGCTGTTGAGTTAACTGAGCCAAGGCAGCATGGTTATTTCAGGAGAGTTCCATGGGTAAACTGTTCCCTGGAGTTCCCTACAGCTCTGCCAGGATCCCAGGCACAAAAGGAGACAGCTTCAACTCCTTTTAGTTGCTGTGGAGAGCAGAGAAGACAAGACTATGGCTGTTGCTGCGCCGACTCTCTAGAGCCGAAGATGGCTTCCGCTCCCACGAGCAGACAGCATCAGCCTCCCTTCCTTTCCAAACGCTGCAAGAAAATGCTAGCACAATTTACAATGTCTGAAAGGCAGCCATTGAAAAGGAAACTTCACTGTGGTATCTAGATTTATTCCACGTTCAAAAGCATCAACAGCTGCAACAACCTTAGACCCTGCTATGTGCCGTGCCTTCTAATAGAAGCCATCATCTCAGGCTTTCTGTATCTCTTTCCAATGTGTGGGACCGGATCCCAGGGTCTGAGGATAGAGCTGAGTCCCAAATCCCCACTCCCTCCCCACCCCGAGCTTCCTGGAGAACACAAAAAACAAAGGTAAGGCTGTCCTTGAAGTGCTTTAATGGGAGTTTGGAGAACTGAATTTAGGACCTCCTGATTACGAACTCTGAACTTGAAAGCCAGAGAATCTCTGGCTCAAGTGTGTGAGTCAGGCACTGAGAAGGCTTATGACCAGCCAGTCGTCACATTGTCCACTTGGGGAAGAGAAAGTCTGGGTACTGAGAGTGGTCCCTTACACCCCTCGGCCCCTCTTTAATAGATATGTGGGAAGTCAGTTCCTACACATCCTCCATCCTCCTTACCAGGAAAGATTCAGGCCCCACCTGGCCCTGTGATGTCCATCACATAAGAACTTAACCTGCTGGCCCTGTCAAAACATTCCATTCCTCGACCATTTCAAGGGCCCACACTTAAATAACCCTATATTATTGCAGAACCAGATCAAAAGGGAAACTTCTAGACGCTGCCCCTTTCAGTCTGCCAGTTGGCGTCCTGTCTTTCTGTGAGGAGGACCAGTGTGAAGCATGCAGCAGGACGGTGAGAGGCCTGGGGGAAGCTGGAAGAATAGGGAAGGGTCCCGAGATCGAATACTGCCGCTGGGTCTTGGCTCCCAACAACACAATTTCAATTGTCCTTAGTCAATGCTCTGGGCATAGTTTTCTCCAGTTGTTCCCTTTTTGCTTTACTCTGCTTCCTTTGGATTAGGACATAACCAGCCCCTAAAGAAAGTGGCTTGTTTTGAGGACACTGGGAAAAGGTGGGCACAATCTCAGAGAAAGACAGACTGTGTGGTAGCCGACCGAAATAGAAACCCCGAGTGACCTTCTGCAAGGGTGAGTGAGGACTGGACATACACAGTGCGCTGAAGCTTCCCTCTAACACTCAGGAATCAGCAGTGTGAATCAACTGGGGGGACTCTTTGTGAATGGCCGGCCTCTTCCTCTGGACACCCGGCAACAGATTGTGCAGCTAGCAATGAGCGGGATGCGACCCTGTGACATCTCTCGGAGCCTTAAGGTAGTGACAAACCTTTTGTTCAATAATGGAGAAAAGAACCAGGCACCAAGGACCTCTCTTAAGATAACAGTTTGGGGCTGAACCCTAAGGGCCTCCTCCTAGAAGACCCTCTTGGAGGTTGGAAAGGGGAGTTTTAGGTGCCCAAGGTGAGCTTAGACTCTCAACTCCATGGTTTGGTTCAGTAAACCCCCTTTGGCTGGCAACTTCCTTTTGTCTTAGGAATGCTCAGCTTCCTTCTGCCTATCATGTCTTTTGTGTCCTGTTCCTGCTTCTCATCTGACTCAGGTATCTAATGGCTGTGTGAGCAAGATCCTAGGACGTTACTACCGCACAGGTGTCTTGGAACCCAAGAGTATTGGAGGAAGCAAGCCGCGTCTGGCCACACCGGCTGTGGTGGCTCGAATTGCTCAGCTAAAAGATGAGTATCCAGCACTCTTTGCTTGGGAGATACAACGCCAGCTTTGTGCTGAAGGACTTTGCACTCAGGACAAGGCTCCCAGTGTAAGTGCCCTCTCCCTACCTTGGGGCTTGCTGGTAGACTGGGGAGAAGATTCCTTTTCTCCTTGGCAATTTTGTTACCTTAGCCTGGTGTTTGGGGAAACTGGTATTGGCCTTCTGACTCACAAATGTCTCTTCTGAAAAGTGGCAGTAGTTGAGGGAACTGAGAAGGAAATATGGGTTGGGGGCGGAGCGGGCCTTGGGAATGGCGAGACGAGGGCAAAGGATCTACAGAATGCAATCCTGGGTGTAGACACCGTTTTCCCCATATGTACCCCAACACCCCAGGTGTCGTCTATCAACAGAGTCCTTCGGGCGCTACAGGAAGACCAGAAGTTGCACTGGACACAACTCAGATTACCAGGTGAGTATTAGAATTGCCAGCAGAGATAACCAGAGCCAAATTCTTAGCATTTTATCGCTCTTCCTTCTGCCCAGCATGAGGAATTCTCCCTCTTTTTTCAATCACCCTCCCAACACTCCCTTAAAGGGGCCCTAGTGGGTGGCTTTACTTGCTCCTGGGTAAAATATAGAGGTTTAGAAAAATGAAATTACTTGCTCAGTCGTCAGCTAGTAGTTGGCATGTCTTGGAACAGAACCTAGATCCCCTAACTCCTAGGTTTACACTAACTGCTAAAGGCAAGGCTAGACAGGGCCTTTCATACCCTTCTTCTACTTCCTTTAGCTTCTCAGAATGTTGTCCATATCCTACGGGGTCGTTCAAGCCTGGAGCAATTCTGTTTTCCCTACATAGTACCATGATACTCAGCACATTGTATAGCAACTGCCAAGGAACTGCATACTCCCGTAGTCACACTCTGCTTCTATGCCTGTGCGGTTGTCTAGTCAGAGACCCCAGATAACCAGAAAAGTCTCTATCACAAATGCCGTAAGACATTGTCCTCCTTTCCAGCTGTTTTGGCTCCAACTCTTCCCAGTTCCCACAGTAGGTGTGAGGCTCCCCGAGGTCCCCATCCAGGGACCAGCCACAAGAATCGAACTATCTTCTCCCCAGGCCAAGCTGAGGCCCTGGAAAAAGGTGCTGGGCTGGGGTAGACAGTGGGGTGGAATGTCCTTGGTATGGCAGAAAGGCTTGAGACTTGTGGGCAAGGGCTGAAGGGTCCAGGTTGTGGGTGGTTTGGCCTTGGAAAGGAGAGCTATTTAGGGTTTTAAGAGGTAGGGAGTGGGGATTGACAAGAGACCATGCCTTCCTTACCCTCACTGTGGGAACCTCTGCCCCTACAGAGTTCCAGCGTGGGCAGTACCCAGATTCAGTGGCCCGTGGAAAGCTGGCTGCCGCCACGTCTCTGCCTGAGGACACAGTGAGGGTGAGTGACCTCTGTAGCACAGTGTGAGGAAACTGGAGAGGAGAAGAATGTTCTGACCAGGGCTTTGGCTCTGCTAAGGTAGAGATGGCAGCAAGAGGGTGGGGGAAAAACTTGCTTAGCAAAAAATAAGAGGTGACGTCCTCCTTGCTTTTCTGTTGATTGCTCTCCTCGTTTCCACACCCAAGGCTTTTAAGTGAGGAAGGAGACAGAGAGCAAAGGCAGAGCAGGGAGAGAGGGTGCCGGAGTGGTGGAAGGCTCTGCCTTTGGAGTCCAGGCCAGGGACACATGGTGAGAGCAGCTGGTGCCAGGTGGCTGAAGACACAGCCAGTGATACGGTTCCTGTTCTCTCTCAGGTCTGGTTTTCCAATAGAAGAGCCAAATGGCGCAGGCAAGAGAAGCTGAAGTGGGAAACACAGCTGCCAGGTGATTTCAGTGTATATTCATCCATCCATCCATCCATCCATCCATCCATCCATCCATCCATCCATCCATCCACCCACCCATCCATCTGTCTACATTTACATAGCAATCCTCAAATACCTGGCTCTGTACTGGAGCTGCTCAGTCCCTAGGATCATCCCTTGAGCTTTATCATTATTTCTGGTTTCCTAAAGCCTGTTTTGGGAAGAAGACAGCCTAGTTTGTGACATTTGTCTCTTCCAAACTCTTCAAGAAGCTGCTCCCTTTCCTGGAACCTTTGTCCTAGGGCCCCATGCCTATTTCTCCCTCTGAGTGGATCCACCCTCACCTTGTAGGTGCTTCTCAGGATCTGATGGTACCAAGAGCTCCCCCAGGGATCATTTCTGCACAGGTACTTAGGAGGAGGGGGGAGTTTATGAGCCGGGAAGACTGAAGGTCTCATGACCTCTCCTATTTATGGTGAAGGCATGGGTAAAACCCATGGATAGGCAAGGCCTTCACTGTGTCTTCTACAAAGTGCTATCCCTTGTCCTCCATGTAAATGGCATCCTCTGGAGTGTAGGACACAGCCTGGGGGAAGGTGGTCTTGGGGGTCATGCAGTACTAGTTCCCAGGCTTTCTGAATAGAAAGACTCACTAGTGGTTGAGAAGACCCCCAACTTTGCTTTCTCTGCCAGTCCCCTGGTAGTGTGCCCCCAGCAGCCCTGCCTGTGCCGGAACCGCTGAGTCCTTCCTTCTGCCACCTGTGCTGGGGGACACCACCAGACAGGTGCTTCAATGACACCCCATCCCACTCCTGTCTCCACTCCTGCTGGGGTAAGAATTGAAAACAGGATGTGTGTTCCCAGAGTCTACCAGAGATCCTGGAGAGTATAGGAAGGGGTAGCTGAGGGTATTCTTCACCTCCTCTGTGGGAGGGTATGGTCCTCCAGCTGGGGATACCAAAGGAATCTCTCAAAACAGCTTCCCTCATTCCTTGTGTGGCTCTTAATGCTGGGGAGTCCACAGTAGCGCTGACACCTACAGAGGTGTCAAAGGAAGGGTGTTGAGATCTGAATGTATATACCCTTAGGTACGTATGTCTCAGCCCTCCACCTCAGTGACTTTGAGAGGCCTGTAGGACCAATAAGCCCAACCCAGGTGCCAGCAAGATGCTTAGCAAGTAAGAGCACTTGCTCCTGAGCCTGACCCCAGAAGTGCACACGGCAGGAGAGAATCGACTCCCATGAGTTGTCCTCTGGCCTCCACATGTGTGCTTTGCACATGCTGTGCACATGCAGGCATTCGAACCCACAAATAGTGGATAAATTAATGTGGGAGCGGGAGGCCCTGCTTGTGCATATGTGGGCTTGCATTTGAATACACACCTACACACCCATAGTGAATAAATTAATGTGGGTGAAAAGCCCAGGCTCCTCAGAGTCCTGCATGGTGTTAGCCCCATTGCCACCTTTGCTCTTCCTGCCGCTGATTCTGTCACTAATGTTGGTGCCGCTTCAGCCCTAACCTGTCTGGTACCCCACTGTCGTAAGACTTGGACTAAGGTGAGAGATCCAGAGACAGGTGAGATCTAATGCCGTTATTTCCCCCACACAGATTGCCACGCCCTTCTTCCTGTGGCTTCTTCTTCATATATGGAATTTGCCTGGCCCTGCCTCACCACTCCTCCTGTGTACCATCTGATTGGAGGGTCACGAGAAGCGGCAGCAACCCATTACTCACACTGACCATAACAGACTTCCATTTGACAGTAATAAAAACTTTTTATAAAGTTAGCAAGAGTTTCTTGCTTTTAACCTTCTGTTCTCATGAACACCAATGTGCTTCTATCTATCTGTCTGTCTGTCTATCATCTACCTGTCTGTCTATCTATCTCTTATCGATCTTCTATCTCATACTTTATGTTTACATGCATTGTACTCAGTCATATTTATCTATAGTAACGAATCTGTCAATCCCATGTTTGTAGGTATTCATGTACCTATTGATCTATTTAGGTGTTGGGGTAACACATGCACACACATCATATTACATCATAGCACTTCACTCTTCGGTCCTCCAGCACAGGTCAGCAGAAAACAAACAAATGAGAGTCTTACTTACATAACCAACCATAGCATAATATTCACACCTAAGAAAATTTACTATAGCTCTTTTATTTATCTGTTTTTGCTTGTTTGTTTTGATTCAGGGTCTTACTATGTAGCTCTGGTTCTTGGTTCTATGTAGCAAGTTCTGTCTTGGAACTTGCTCTGTAGACCAGGCTGGCCTCAAACACACAGAGATCTCCCTGCCTCTGCCTCCCAAGTACTGGGATTAAAAGTATGTGCCACCACACCTGCCAATTTATTATAGTTCTTTGGTCTAAACAAATAAACATCAATTTCCTAATTGCATCTGTACTTTTGCCATAGCAGTGGACTGGAAATGACATTTGAGGTTCTCCTCTCCTGTTCATACACGCTCCAGGGCACACTGGAGGCCCAGATCTTCTCAAGTCTGTAGCAAAGAAAGCTGCAGGCTTCTCCCTGGTAGTCTTGGGATGTGGGGAGAGGGAAGAAGCTAGAAAAAAGAGGTTAAGTGAGGGGATATTTGGAAAGGAAGACTGGCTTGTACTTCTGAGTTCTTTCTCCTCCTCCCACCCCCAGCTTCTTCCCATATAATCTCAGCCTAGCCTTGAATTCCTGACCCCTATCCCCAAGGACTAGAATCATAGGTACGCACTGCAAATTCTCCACAAATTCTTCCTCTTCTGAGAGGCAGAGGGTAGATAATGGTGGCAGTGACAGGAGCGGGGTGGGTGGGTGGCGTGCTTGTATTTTCCACCTGGAGTAGGCACTGACTTAGAGTTTGTCATTCAAGGAGTCTTAGCAAATCCTCTAAAGCTGGCTGTTCAGGAGCTGGCGAGCAACCACACATCTATTTATATGTAATCCATGTTAAAATGAACAGTTAGCTACCACTGAACCAGCCACACTTCAAACACCACGTGTGGGTTGTGCCTTCTTTTCTGGAGCATTTTCACCAACAGAGAAAAGTGTGATGATGGTGTAGCCCTGGAAGCCATTTGATGACAAAGACGACACAGCCTGGCCCTCCCCTGACTTCTCTGCTTTTGAGACGAAGGTCTTCTTGATAGGGCTGCTCAGGAAAATAGGCAAGGCTATGGGAAGGCAATATGCACAGCATAGACAGAAAACAGCCCCTCACTCCAGCAACAGGCCTGGCCAACAACGGTAGGAACTGTCTTATTTCAGCTGAGACCCATGGATGAGCAGGGACAAGCAAAGGAGGAAGGGTCACTTGTGGGGAACTGAAGATAAGACTGTGGATTGTGTGCACGTTCATGTTTGCAGACGCATGAGAATCCCTGTATACACACATTCCCATGATTTTGTGTGTGTGTTTACAGAATGCTGAGGAAGAGGTTTTGTATTAAAAGACCTGTAACATGTATTATCTCCCTAGCTAAGCTGTTTTTGCAGCAGAGTCTCACCTTGCTCAAGATAGCCTTAAACTCTTGAGCTTGAGTAATTCTGCTTCAGTCTCTTAGTTTGCTGGGGTTGCAGGAACACTCTCTTCCTGGCGTAGGTCTGTGTTTAATGCCCTCTTGGAAAAGAGGCCTCCTACTCTCTAGCATTTCCTACTTAACATTTAATTAAAAAATAAATTCATATATCTTGAGAAGAAATACTGAAACCTAAGGCCTTTTTCTCCTCTCCAAATTGAGTCTCTTTTATGTTTTTATTTCGACTTTTCTCATCAGAAGACTTTAAAAGCAAGCATTTACTGTCATATGGGGTATTTGGGGACATGGATGCTGGCTTTAAGGGGCAGTCTGCTATGTTAAATAATAACTTTTAAACACTTTCAATCCTGATTGTATCAGGAGAAAGTTGCTTGTGGTCCCCTCAGCACCTCCTTAAACAGTTGCTAACCTTAACAAAAGGAGAGACTGGAGCTCAGTCTGGGCTGGGAGGGGTGTCTAGGAGTTCACAGCGTTGCTTTGCTTTTTCATAGTGCTTATTTTTGTAGTCACTTTGTATTTAGCAGCAAGTGATCTGGGTTTTGTTTTATGACAAATAAAAAACTATTCCTTTCTAAATGAATGTCTATGCAAATTAAAACATTAACAGGACAAGTGGGAGGTAGATAAAGGCTAACGTAATGAAGACAGTGCAAGACAGGCATACATTCTGTAGGTCCTGCTTTGACGGCAAGAGCAGTAGACATTAGTCATATCTGAGTATGAGGCTGAGCTTGCCCATGAGTTATGGGGCCTTAGGTCAAGCACTCCAGCTGCCTGCAGAGGTGAGGAATGGTGAGAGAATTACTCGGCCCTGACTTACTTCACTGCATCAAAGCTAACGATAGTTCAAGGAGGCTCAGTGAACAGTCAGGGGGAGAAAGGGATGGCAGGGTGAACATAGCCACACCCATGTTCCTAAGAGGAACATTCTTTCATTTGTTCTAAACCTAAAAGGCATTCTTACAATAGTCTGCTTTTTTTTTAAATTATAATATGAATACATTGTTTTCATCCTATATTCCCTCCAAACCCCCTCTTTCAAATTCAGAGCACTTTTTATTTAAATGTGAGAATGGGTACAAGATTTTTTATTTTAAATAATTTTTTTTGAAATTAATATAATTACATTATTTCCCTTATTTTTTCTACTTCTAAACTCTCCCAAGTACCTCCTCCTTTGCTTTCTCAAATTCCTGGCCTTTCTATTCTTTGTTAGTTTTGTTTTATTTTATATGTGTGTGTATGTGTGTGTGCGCGCGCGTGCATACATGCGGGAGCTTGTGTGTATGTGTATTCCTAGATATATAAATATAATCTACTCTAAGTCTATATAATGTTACTTGTATGTACATGTTTTCATAGCAGATCATGTGGTATTAGATAATCAATGGGTGTGCTCTTCCCTAGAGAAGACTATTTCTCCAACTCTCAGCACTCCTTAATTACCTGTGGCTCTTTGCCTAGGGTTGAGGCCTCCTGAGATTTCCCCATCCAGAACAAAGTTAGTGGTGATATGTCCTCTTCCAAGATCCGTGATTTTAATAGTCCAGGGTGTTTTGTTAGGTTTCTAGGACATGATTTCCAGGCAGGATGACCTCTTTTTAATTGTTGTTACATATACACACCCATAAATTCATCCATCCATTCATCCATCCATACATACTTACATTTATGCATACATCCTGCTCAGCCCATATAATGTTACTTGTATGTGTATGGTATTGGATAACCAACAAACACACCAGCATGGAAGGGGGAAAGCCTCACAAGGCCTCAGCCCTAGACAAAGAACTACAGGCAGCTAAGGAATGCTAAGAGCGAGAGAAATACTCTTCCCCAAGGAAGAGTCTAAAAGACATTTACAAGCTACATCTACATCAGAATCCTTCACAGCAAGGTTGGCTTATCAAGGGACCATTGGGAAAAGTTTACTGGTTTGGGCTAGGGGTGGGGAGCATGTGGTAACTGTAAGTCTCCTTCCTCTTGGGTAGGATTTACAGCATCCTGGGGAGACAGTCTTTGACCCTCAACCTGACACCCACTCTTTTCTTCTTTTCTATTATTTTTAGCTAGTATTCAAAATAATGCTTGTGTGGTTTGTGGTGTGTGTGTGTGTGTGTGTGTGTGTGTGTGTGTGGTTTTTACAGGGTCCCACTGCGTAGCCTAAATTGGAAATTGGCCTGAAACTTTATTAGCCTCCTGAATACTGGACTATAGGTATTCATTACCACGTCCAGTTAATAATGTATTTTATTTTGATACTTTATGTATGTGTATGTATATATATCATGTACATATGTATTTATTCTGTTCTTTTCTTCACTTGCACTCCCTTACTTTTTTTCCTTTCTTTTCTTTTCTTTCTTTCTTTCTTTCTTTCTTTCTTTCTTTTTTCTTTGGTTTTTCAAGACATGGTTTCTATGAGTAGTCCTTGTTGTCCAGAAGCTAGCTCTGTAGACCAGGATAGCCCCCTTTTCAAAGGCCCCTTTCCTTCCCTTTCTGCTCTCATGTCACATATCTATGCATGTGTATGTATGAGTGCACATTTACACCTAACTCCCACATACGAGAGAACACCTGCGCCATTTGTCCTCTCCTGTCCTTCACCTCCCTTCTCTTTGCCCCTCCCATTAGACCTCTTCCTTCCTCATAGTTCCCCTCCACCTTCATGTCATTCACATGTGCATGCACATTCTACACTGAGAGAAAATGTGGCAGTCTAGACCCTATGTCTCCCAAATCAGACGCACATGTGTCCTTTCAGTCAGATGCACATACGGGTCTTGGGGGTGGCCTGCTGTGATGTATTGTCGCTTGAAACAGGTGTTTTGCTAACTCAGTAGGAAAAATTGTACAACATGTCTTCTCCTCTTGGATCTTGACTCGGGGTCTTCTGTCCTGTTTAGCTAGAAGTTGTTCCTGGAGGCCTGGGGGATTTAGAATTTGGCAGGCAGCATCCCATTGACCTGGAGAAGGAAGAGGAAATGGACCTTCAGTAATCCTATGAGAGGAGAGAGAATGAAGCAATTTATACCTTTCTGGGTGAGGATAAACATTAAATAAGTGTGAGATGAATTTATAGGAAAAATAGCCCCCCCATCAGAGTTCAGAGAAAGGCTGTGCAGTTAACAGGAAAGCATTTACTAAGAACTTATCCTTTTGTGTTTCTCTTGTCTTGTTTCAATGCTGGCATCGAACCCAGGGCCTCCCATAATGTTAAGCATAAGCCCCTCTTTACTAAGAAATTAAACTGAGTTACTGACTTCTGATAGAATGAGGATGTAGTAGATGCCAGGTCACACAGAGCATTTACTATCTTAGGTATTGCTCACAATTCCCTCCAAGGTCAAAACCATAGTCTTGTTTCCCCTTTGAGGGATAGGCTTTGAGTCTAGGACTGGGCTCTTATGCTTTACAGCACATTGTCTACTAGGATGTGGGGCTTGGAAAGAGCCAAACCAAGCTCTCAATGACATAGATACAAAAGTTGAATCCTGATGGGATTTCATGTTATTTTTCTCCGTTGGTACATTGTGTAGACTATGCGGAGAAGACTGAACATATACCAAGGGTCGATATAGTTAGTTTCTGATTGGGTCTTAGCCTTGATAATACCTATGATGTCAATTTCATCCACTTTACACGCAAGAAAACAGAGGTCTTGAAATGTGAAAGCAATTTCTCTAATGTCGCAGTTTTAACTAGAAGAATGCTTGCCTAGTGTTTGTGAAGCTCTGGGTTCCATCTCCAACATCACATAGAACCAGACATGGTAGGGTTTGCCTGTAATCATTCAGCACTCAGGAGGTCAAGGAAGGAGAATCCTGAATTCTAAGTCATACCTGACTATGGAGTAAGTCAAGGGCCAGCCTGGGCTATATGACAACAATTACAGCAGGAACAACAGCAAACCTAAAGTACTTTCTATAAAGTTCATTTGACTTTCCAAGGCAGGAAAATGGGGTCTCTGAAAGGGTGGGAAAACCAGAAGCAGCATGTTAAAATAAACTTGGATGCCAGGTGGTGGTGGCACACGCCTTTAATCTCAGTACTTGGGAGGCAGAGGCAGGTGGATCTCTGTGAGTTTGAGGCCAGCCTGGTCTACAAGAGCTAGTTCCAGGACAGGCACCAAAACTGCAGAGAAACCCTGTCTTGAAAATCAAATAAATAAGCAAACAAATAAATAAGTAAACAAATAAATAAAAATAAACTTGATATTCAGGCTAGGCAATGGTGGTGCATGCCTTTAATCCCAGGATTTGGGAGGCAGAGGCAGGAGGATCTCTGTGAGTTCGAGGCCAACCTGGTCTGCAGAGTGAATTCCAGGACAGCTGGAGCTATACACAGAGAAACCCTATCTTGGAGAACCAAACCAAATCAAAGAGCCAAACCAACCAAAAAACAAAACAAAACAAAACAAAACAAAAAACAAAAACAAAACAAAACAAAACAAAAAACAAAACAAAACAGGGCTGGAGAGATGGCTCAGAGGTTAAGAGCATTGCCTGCTCTTCCAAAGGTCCTGAGTTCAATTCCCAGCAACCACATGGTGGCTCACAACCATCTGTAATGAGGTCTGGTGCCCTCTTCTGGCCTGCAGGCATATACACAGAAAAATGTTGTATACATAATAAATAAATATTTTTTTAAAAAAAACAACAACAAAACAAAACAAAACAAAAAAACTTTGTGTGCAGAAGAGACTGGATGGGGATGAATCTGGGGACAGGGACTGTTGCTGAGGGGCAATGACAGCAGTGCCTAGAGTGATGGTGGTAATTATGAAACAGAGTGTGCTCAAGAGACATCGGTAGGGAAGCACCCAAGAGTTTGCACAGTTCGATAAAGGCAGCCAAAGGAGGTTAGAGAGGAGGCTTTGACCGTGATCATCTGGAAGGGCAGTAGGGTCAGGCTGGAAGGGAATGGCATGGCACAAGAGAATGACCTTGGAAGGAGAGGACTATGGAAGAGAATCAGTCATGTTGATTTAGAAGGACTAGAAGGTTGAAATCAAGTCAAGTTGGAGAAAAATGGGGTTGGCATTTCAGAGAAGAATCAGGGCTGGAGATAAAACAAATGGGCAAGGACGGAAATGCATAAACCAAGGGATAAGGATGGAAATGCCCTTCCCTATCTACACACATTTTCCCCCAAAATGAGGTAAAATTCTAGACCTTAAAGGAGACATAGGAACCCAGGCCTGCTTGTAGCCCGTAAGTCAGAACAACAAAGTTTTAAGAAACCCAGACACGATGCCTGATGCTCTTCTTCCCTCCCTAGCAAGACCCGGTTTATAAGCCTGTAAGGAATGATGTGGATGTGGAATAAATGCCTGGTGTTGGTCAGCTCCTGGACAGAAGCGATCCCATTCTCATATTCTGGTCTTTGGATCACAAGTCTCCCCGCCCACTTCCGTTCTCCTCTTGCGCCTCAGCTCCTGCTTCCCTGACAGACACCACTCTTCCTTACCTAAAATTCCCAGATACATTCTTTGGTAATGTCTCCACTGTCTGCCAATAGTGTGCCACTTCGGTCGGCTCGGATGTAGAAGCCGTTGGGCGCCAGCACCGTGAGCAAGTTGCTCCCCTGAAGTTCTATACAGAAGTTGAGGGCGAATTTTCCCCAAGGGCGGAAGGTGCCAAAAGATGTTATTGACCAGAAGGATCCGCCCTGTGCTGGGGAGGGAAGAATTATGTTGGTCGACCATTTGGAAAGCAGTTTTCTAAACATTGAAACCTCCCAGGGGAGTTCCCTGAGGCGTGCAAAACCACCCCCTGTCCCCGCCTTCCTTCTCCCCGCGCCCCTCCCCCGCCTTCCTGCGGGGATTGTATCCTGCCTGCTTTAGTAGATCCTTCTAGACAAATGAAGAAGAACCCCTGGGAACCTCACTGATTCCTATTCTGCTAAGCCACCCTGGAGCCTTGAAGTATGAAAACAAACCGAAATCCTGTTTTTATGACGGGTGGCAGGTCCCTAAGCCCGGCCTGGGACTGAGGCTGGGCTGGGTCAGGGTCTCTAGGTGGGGAAGAGGAACCACTCACCCTGAAAATGGTAGATGCCCTGGCGGCAGGGCAGAAGGTGAATGCAGTCAGGCTGATCCATGTTGCACTGCATCAGGTCCCGGTCTGAGGAGGAGCCCACATACCCATACCGCCCTCTCAAGATGAGAAACGGGCGATTGGCAAATCTAATCTCCAGTTCCTCGTTGGGGCCTGAAAGAAACAGGGAGGCATTATCTGGATAGGTTGGGTCTCTCTAGGGGCTTTCCAGGGGGGAAAGAAAGGGAGCACGAAGGATACCTAAGGATTATGTCAGCATTTCTCTCTCTCTCTCTGTCTCTCTCTGTCTCTCCCTCTCTCTCGCTGTCTCTCTCTGTCTCTCTGTCTCTGTCTGTTTCTGTCTGTCTCTGTCTCTCTCTGTCTCTGTCTGTCTATCTCTCTCTGTCTGTCTCTCTGTCTGTCTCTGTCTCTCAGACTCTGTCTCTCCCTCTCTCTCTCGCTGTCTCTTTCTGTCTGTCTCTCTGTCTCTGTCTGTCTGTCTCTGTCTGTCTGTCTGTCTGTCTGTCTGTCTCTCTGTCTCTCAGACTCTCTCTGTCTCTGTCTCTGTCTCTCTCTCTGTATGTGTGTGTGTACGTGGAGGCCAGAGGAGGGTGTCCCGCTCCATCACTGCCTTATCCCCTGAGGTAGGGCTTCTGACTGAACGTATAACTCAGTGTTTTTCCTGAAGGTCAGCAGCCAGCAAGCCTCAGCAATTCTTTGCCTCTGCCCTCTCCTCCCCAGTGCTTAGGTGATAGGCACCCACACCACATCCAGCAATTTATGTGCACGCTGGGGAACCAGAGCTTAGGTCTTCACACTGCTGTCGCAAGTGCTCTCCTCACTGAGCTGTCAATCACTCAAGCCCCTGAACGTTCTCTGTATTTTAACCTTTATTGAACGCTGGCTGTGTGCCAGGCCTTACACTAGGTGCTTGTGAAATGTTTGCCAGGGCACTCAGCAGAGCATGGAGCACAAGAAATCTACATATTCTTTCTTTGGGATGTGTTAATCGATTTAATCCCCACCTCAACCCTGTGAAGCAGTAGAATAGAATCCTTGTCAGGGACTTTAAACCTGAAGCTCAAAGAGGGTCTGTTCCAGCAACAAGCACTCAGCAACTGAACCCAGACCCAAACCTTCTGAGGTCAACTCACTGCTTCCAAAACCTTAAAAAATAAAAGTGGCTCAGTTGGTGAACGCACTTGTCACAGAAGCCCAGCAGCCTGGGTTCAGTCTCTGGAACCCACAACAGGAGAGGGAAACGAAGAGAACTGATTCCCGAGGCTTCTGACCTCCGTATGCGTCCCCTCTCTCTCCCCAGCCACATGTGAGAGCCCTGGCTCTTGCAGAATCCCTGGCGTGGGTTAGCGCGGGAGGAGAATAGTGGCTTGGCTCACCTGGGATGGTGGCATTTGCCATCAGCAGGCCATTGGATGCAATGCTCAGGAAACGCCCACTGGGGGACTGCAGGATAACTCTGCCACAGTTCCAGTGCACACGGAAGAAGGTGTTAGATTCCAGGGGGTACCCGTCAGCTATGATGGCCCTGTGGCGCCTCTGGAGAGAATGTGGGGACCAGGGACCAGGAGGAAGGTTAGCAACCTTAGCTTTTTCCCCATCAGTTTTAGTCCTGGGTCCAATTCCTATATCCACCCCCTCTCCAGCCTCTGTAATTTTCTGGACTATGCCTTCAAAAATCTCTTTTTAAAAGGTCTTAAAAGTCATATTTTTTGATTTATTTATTTGTATGACTGTTTTAACTTGTTTGTCTACGTACAACATGCCTGGTGCCTATGGAGTCCAGAGATGGCTTCCCATCCCCTGTAACTGGAACTCCAGATGTTTCTGAGTCACCATGGAGGTGCTAGGAACTGAACTTAGGTCCTCCGGAAGAGCAGCCATCTCTCCAGCCCCTCAGAACCTCTTTGTAAGGCAAAAATGGAACCAGTCTCACCTGGGCTAGGTAGTAGCCATTGGCTGAACGGAGTTGTAAGGTAGGGCTTGCACTGTCACATTCATACTGGAACAAGGACATCGGGGTCAAGCGCTCAGAGGCGGCACACACCTCAGCATCTAGGGAGGAAGTCCACACAAGCAGCTTTTTAGCTCAGTCCCAGACCCTCCTCCATGCTTATCATGGGTTTCACTGACGTTTTCCTTCCTCAACCTAGATCATAATGATCTGGAGAAGCCCAGGCAACTTTCTCTTAAAGGCATATCTTTATCTGTTAGTCTGCCTCCCCAGAGGTCTCTCTGGGGGCTCAGGCTCTTTCTTATGACTAGGTTTAAAGTATCTTGCTTGTCCTGTGCTAGTGTGTTGCCTTGACACAAGCTTGGTGTCATCCGGAAATAGGGAAGCTTATTGAGGGGTTGTCTCCATCAGATTACCTGTAGGGACGATTACACTTTCTTGATTGATCATTGATGTGGAAGAGCCCAGGGCCCAGCCCACTGCAGGCAAATAAACGGTCCTGGGTAATATAAGAAAGCAAACTGGACAAGTCACGGGAGCAAGCTAGTAAGCACTGTTTCTCTGTGTTTCTGCTCGAGTTCCTGTCCTTGCTTCCCTCAGGGTTGCGTGGTGACATGGAAGTTAAACAAACCAAACAGAACAAAACAACAAGACCCTTTCCACCCCAAGTTGCTTCTGAGCACGGTGTTTACCCCCAGCAACAGAAAGAAAGCTAGGCCACACCTGAACAGTTGCTTCCTTTTAGCCCCGCCCCGCCCCCTCTGTCCCACGGTGGCACCGGACCCAGTACTTGCCATAGACGACTGAGATGAACCTCCGTGTCTTTGACTTCAGGCTGACCCAGGTTGGGAAGTGTTGTAAGACGAACCACTCCTCACCCCTTATAGGACTGGAGCCCAGGCCCAGGAGTAGATGTGTGCCCTGTGGATATAATGTGCCTCCTTCTCCATCGCACAGTGCCACAAGCCCCCGAGGCCGCACTTGCATGTGGAAAGCTGTCTTTGATGAGCGGTGAGGGACCAGCCGGTCTACACGAGACAAGAAATGGTGTGTCGAAGTCTCCAGGTGATAGCATCCGTCGTGAAAATGTAACAGGAACCCACACTCCTCTAGGCAGGGGGTTGCTGCGTCAACCCAGATTCGGCCCACGGTGTGGTCGGCTCGAGCATAGCTGCGGTAGGTGGGGCTGTAGAGGATCACGTGGACATGCAGGGCTGGTCTAGGGGTCCACATATGGTAAGCTGAGAGGACCCTGGAGTTGCAGAATACATCCTCACCATCAGACTCCAGATAGCGGCCAGAGATAATGCATTGGAGGGTCCATTTGCCATTTCGGTGGAAACGGAGCAGGAAGCATCCGTGGTGGCTAGTCCTTGGCCTGCCATAGCACACAGTACCATCTGCTTCACACAGCAGGTAGAGGCCCTGCAAGCTTTTTAGTCGTATCACGGCCTGCGCGTCATGTTCATTGCTCACCAGGAGCTCCCAGGTCTGGAGGCGTCGGGAGGATGAGGGAAATGTGTCAACAACTGGCAACCACGACTCTTGGTACCATCAGCACCTCCAACATGACCTTCCTTCCCATACCTGTCTTGGCATCTCCTTGCTATGAACATTCTACTTGATCAATTAACAAGGAAAAGGATTTATGGGCTGGGGGCCAGGGATGCCTGTTTTTAATTCCAGCACTCAGGAGGCAGAGGGAGGCAGATCTCGGTGAGTTCAAGGCCAGCTTGGTCTGCATGGCCAGTTCTACACCAGCCAGAACTACATAGTGGGAGTCTTTCGCAAAACAAAATAAACAAAAAATACAAGGAAGTTTTCTGGGTTGTCCACCTCTACAGTCACAGGACTTCTTAAGACCCAGTGGGGGCCAGAGAGATGGCTCAGGGTAAAAGCACCTCGAAAACTTGACAGCCTGAGGTCTATCTCCAGAATCCACACTTAAAAAGCTAGATGCAGTCTGGTGAGATGGCTCAGTGGGTAAAGGTACTTGTTGCCAAGCCTGATGATCTGAGTTTGATCCCCGGGTCCCACTTGGTGGAAGAAGAGAACGAACTGACCCCTGTAAATTGTCCTCCGACCTCCGCATGTGTGCCATGGTACAGATATGTGGGTAACACACACACACACACACACACACACACACACACACACACGAATAAATAAAATGTAATGATTGAAAGAAGCTAGACACAGTGGCAAGCATCTATAATCCTAGAACTCCTATGGCAAGATAGGAGATAGAGACAAGAGACTCTCCTGGAAGCTCATGGGCCAGATGACCTTAGAGCACACAGTGTAGGCAAAACCAAGAGATCACTTCAAGGTGGAAGGTTGTCCTCTGACCTCACGTATGTGCTTGTATACACAAACACACACCACATGCAGAACCCATGGGATATTCTATATTCACACTTTAGAAAAACAAAACCTCTCTTTCCCCTGCTCCATCCTTCAGTACCTAAAAGAAAACACGTTTTGCTTTGTTTTATTTCTTTCACCCTTGCTACAGACCCTGGACGGCACAGTACTCAGAACCTCCACCAGCAGGGTCCACCTCTCCAACAGAAGTGCAAGGAAGCATCCTGACTCTATGTATGGAAGTTGGGATACAATAGTTAGGTACACTGTGAGAAATTTGGTCGTAAAGGAGAAGACTTTGCTCTGATTTTCTCTCTAAAACAGAGACCAAGTCAGCAAGCACTTTAAAATATTGCACTACTTTTTCCAGGACAGAAACATGGGTCTTGTACTATGGTCCAGCTTCCTCCGGATGCCTGGTTCTGCTTTCCAGCCTGGACTCCCCACCTCTCTGCTTTGTCAACACAACCACCCTGTGCTGGGATGGAGGGTAGGAAACACTGGAGGCGAAGCAGCTAGGCCAGCGCTGACACTTCAGATCTTAGGGAAATGGTTTTGGAAGGTGGAACAATGACAATCCATGAACAAAAGCCTGGTGTAGAAGTGTTTTGGCTTGGCAACAGCAGAGACTATGCCAGTGATTAGGACAAGAAAGCAACACGCAACACACACACACACACACACACACACACACACACACACACACTCAACAAATTGGTTCTAGTCCAGGTTCGCCTTGTTACCTGTCTCCTGCCCAAACTCTTTGCAGTAGCTGTGACTGTACTCTTATACGCTCCAAAGGTGAGGTAGGTTCCTGCCCAGCTGATGAGCCCAACCCTTAGGTCCTCGGCCTTTGGATGTCTGTGTATCCACTCCACCTCAGCCATGGGGCCAGTGCCACAGGTGATAACTCTGTCCGGCCCAGGCTTCCCCCCAGTGGTGAGGTCCCACAGGCCATATGGCCTGGAATAAGGCCCGTAGTACCCACCAGAAGCCGTTCCCAGAGGAAACTTCCCAGGCAGAGGTCTGGCCTAAGGCCCAGCACCTCTGTGACCCGGGAGCATTGTGACTTTAAAGGCTGCCTTTTATCCCACCACAGTGGGGAAAGGGCACTGGCCTAGTAGTATCAATCCACAGGCCAAAGGAAGTAGGTCCAGAGCTTTCAGTATGTCTTCCCGACCAACTCCAAGCAATGAGGTAGGTTTAGACTGGGAATCAGTACTGCAACCTGTGACTGTAGGCCCGTCCCTACCTTTCTTAGTAACAAGAAAGGAATCAACCTATTTCCTTCCTAACAAGGGGGTTCTGCTTGGCTTGCTCTCTGTGACTCAAGCAAGTTTAATTCCTTTCTTTTAAGTTCAAGTCAGCCAAGAAAAAGCTATTGGTCTTTAGGATCTTGGGACAACAAGGTCAAGCTGTTTTGGAAAGTACTTCGCAGTGAAGGTGCGGAAAATGGAAATATAACCATCGAGGATGAAACCACTCTTCTGACTTTAAAGGCTAATGAATGGCCTAGGTGGAGGGCACTCCAGAACTGTGCTTCACCAAGCCTGGCTGTGTTACAGGTGAACGGGCTGGGCAGACAGCCAGATCTGCCGGAAAGGATACTGGTCCCACCCACCAGAAGGCTCTGCTGGATCACTTCCTGCAAAGCTCCAGGAGAAAACCTCCATCAAGAGCCTAGACAAACTGAAAACTTGAGAAGAGGTACAGAAAAAGAAACGGTGGGACAACAGGTCTCATTTAAGCTTTGCTGGGTTCCACAGGGAAACAGGCAAGCAACCTTGCTTGGAGAATAGCCCAGAGTCATCGTGGTTTCCATGGCCTTCCTGATCTGTGTAGATGGGGTCCTCCAGGTACAGCATCCCAGGGGTCCCCAGGAAAGACTCACCGGTGTTCTGTAAAATAGGGCTAATAGGTGCTGCCCCGTGCTGGAATCATCTGGGTAATTTTAAATACGCATGTTGTTGGGGGAAGGCTTCAGACCACGTTGATCATTTTTCTTCAGAGTGTCTTGGGATCTATCTTTTTAATATCCATTTCTCCCCTGTGTACAAAGCTACCGTGAAGAACTGCTAAGTAGCTAGGTAAGAGGTAGGAAAAAGATTCTGTGGTTTGTGGAATGATAAAGGTGGATTTCAGTCCTCAGAACTGAGGACGAAATGGCTTTCCTCCCCTGAAACACCACAGGGAGAAGCTGAGGAAGAAAGGGCTTACGTGTGTGTTGACCTCACAACTTCAGCTGCTTGGAGCCTCTCCCATACTGTCTTTTTGTACCCAGAGTAACTCAGCTTCCCAACTTCCAGGCTACAGACAACACCGGGTACAAACCACATCAAATTTATTCCTCAATATCCAGTTCCACATCATAGCACCACCCGGAGCCCTCACTCTCCTCCCCCCAAACCTGGCCCCAAGGGTACACCCGAAACAGAAAAAAAATGAAATTAAATCCAGATCCCTGCTCCTCCCCTGTTGGAGGGGGCCTTGGCCAGGAAGCCCTTCCACAGGTCCCAGCAGGCAGGAGAGCAGAGCCCTCTGCACCCAGAGAGCAAGGCTCCAGCTCCAGCGACAAGAGAGAACATGCAGGCAGGAGCAGGAGCAGAGACCTGTCTGTGGGGAGGAAGAGTGGGAAGGGAGGGCACTGCCTGAGGAGTCCGGGAGTCTGGTCATCCCGGGATGCACGCGGGAGCTTCCGGGCAGCAGGGGCCTGCCCCTGGCTGGCTAACGCTTTGATAGCTCATGGGACAGCCAGTCCAGCCCATCATACAGGCCTGTGCCTTGGGTAGCGCAGGTGGCCTGGACGTACCACTGTAGGGAGAGAGAGAGAAGTAAATCAGCACCAGGGCAGGCGAGGGTACCTTTATCCCCCTGTCCAGCCTGGGGCTCTGGAGGAAAGGCTGGACCCAGTGCAAAGGAGACCAGATCCTTACCGTGCGGCTACGCAAGTGCTGGAGCCCCAGCTTGTCAGTCAGCTCGCTCACAGGCATGGCATTGGGCATGTCCTGCTTGTTGGCAAACACCAGCAGCACCGCATCCCGAAGCTCATCCTCCTGCAGCTGAGAGGGGAGAAGAAGGTGGGACCTGTGGCTGCAAGGAGTCCCAGGTTCCCTGCTGACTACACTATAGGGGAGTTCTGGTTTCTAACTGCCAAGTCCTTTGTAGGAAAAACACAGTGTACTGTGCAGTTTATTGTTGAACACAGGACAGTTATAAATGTACAAAACCCCTAAATTTTACCTCCAGAAACCTTCTAATTTAAGAACCTGCTCTAAGCGAAAATAACAAAAGTCCCAAACACTAAAAAACAAAACAAAATGAACAACAACAACAAAAATGTGAGAGGCTGTTCCTCTTTCCAACGGACAACCCCTCCCTCTCCTTAGCTCCCTTAGACTCAGGTACACAAGTATTTAAGAGAAAAAGACCTGTTCAAACCGCGTGAGAAGCAACTTAACCAGAGACATAAAACTTCATATTCCCCGCCCACAGAGAATGCTGTCCCCAAGCCAAGGGCCCTGTTCCCAGATCCGGATGCTTACCATCTTCTGGAGTTCATCAGCTGACTCCTGGACCCGCTCTCGGTCATTACTGTCTACCACGAAGATGAGGCCCTAGTTGGGAGGAAGAAAGGAAGCAGGAGAGATCACTCCCACCTACGCCCTGCCCTAGCTTGGCCTCTTCTCACTTTTCCCATCTTTAGTTGTATCCATCTTCGTCTTCTAGTAAATTCCTATTAGCGGTCTGCAGAGACCACTGCAAAGCGAAACGGCTAAAAGATGTTCTGTTTGAGAGCTACATTAGACAGTGTGGTCCTAGAACCATGCTTCCCAGAACAGGACAATGACTGTTAAGGAGGAGTAAGACCTAGCTAAAGGGAGAGGGGTGAGGGCCAGAACTCAGCCAACAGTTCAGTCCTGGGCCATACCACCCTCCTCTGAGGGTTGTCCCTCCCCCTCCGCCTCCACTCCACCTGAGTGTTCTGGAAGTAGTGCCGCCATAGAGGCCGAATCTTGTCCTGGCCTCCAACATCCCAGACTGTGAAACAGATGTTCTTATATTCCACTGTTTCCACATTGAAGCCTGCAGATAATTTTTTTGAGGAGAGAGAGAGAGAGAAAAAAAAAAGTTCTGAAAGGAACTCACTAAAATCACTTGGATCAGCCAGGCTGTGGTAGCACATGCCTTTAATTCCAGCACTCTGGAGGCTAAGGCAGGTGTATCTCTGTGAGTTTGAGGCCAGCCTGGTCTACAGAGCGAGTTCCAGGACAGCCAGGGCTACACAGAAAAAACAAAACAAAACCAAAAACCACTCAGATCTTTACAGGCACACAAACCCAGAAGGCAATGACCAAGACCAATAGGAATAAAATCCAGAAGGACCGGAGGTCAACAGATATGCTAGGCTCACGGTCCACGCCTCAGGCACCAGCAGGCACATAGAGATACCGTGACCCACTTCTCAAGTAGCCATATCTGGTGTCAGGGTCAGGAACAGATAAGGGCCTCAGTAGAACTGGGAGCAGACCCCGAGAAGGCCCGACGCGACACTCCCGCAAACCCTCGCTTCATTCCCGGACTCACCTATGGTGGGGATGGTGGTGACAATCTCCCCCAACTTCAGTTTGTACAGGATGGTAGTCTTGCCAGCCGCATCCAAGCCAACTGCAACGGAGAGGGGCACAGAATGGAGACGGGAGCTAGGGAGCCCTCTAGAGACCAGGGAAAGGGAAAGGACTGCCCAGCTGATGGTGATGGGGGCGGAGAGCGGGAGAGCCTCCAGGTGCGAGCTGTTCTCCACCTTCCGGGCCTTAAGGGCAGTCTGGGTGGCGAGTGCCAACTCCTGTCCTTCAAGTGGCCGAGGAGGTAGAGGAGCTAGGGAGGTGGAGGGCCCGGGAGAAAGGCCGCGTTCCTTTGAAAAGTCGTTTCCAAGGGCGGAATCCTCCTCCCTTCTTAGCAGCCGGGCTGGGGCGGAGGAAGCGTCACCCCACCCAGGCCCCAGCTCCGGGTTTCAGGCCCGAGGCCGACACCGGAGATCCTGGCCTGCACAGGAGCGCATCCCCCGAGGCTGTGGTGGTGGGGTGTCTCGGGGTCAGGGTACCAGGTGAGTGGGGCTGGAGGGACGCGGGGGTGGGAGGGCTGCGGCGGGGCCGGCGCCCCATCCGGGCCGCGCGCTCGATCTGCCTCACCCATGAGAATCCGCATCTGCTTCTTCCCGAAGATCCGCGAAAAGAGCGCGGACACCGTGAGGCCCATGGTGGGGCCCGG